GCAATTCAATATAGCTCAGTCAGATTTTCACCGCTATCCACCGCAAAAATTAGAGCAATTATGTTATTTATACTTTGTATTGTTCCAATTTTATCGAATGTATCCAAAACACATTATCTAGTTATTAGAATAATTAAGCCGTAAGTAACCCAAAAAAATTACTGTTCCTTACGATTTTCTTGGGTTACTGTTCACCGATTTGTTTTAAATTATTTAAATACAACTAATGGAATTTTCTCCTACAGGAACCCCTAGGATATACCTCTATTTACTCGCATGAGGCTAACCATGCAATAAGCTATAAATTTTCTGCCGTGCTATTTTGTTAAACCAATAAACCTTCCAGTTGATATTAGAAAGTGATAATGGGTTTTATTGTGTTGACCACATGTTCACTTCTCCACCATAATAAAATTCAATTCTCGAATTTTTCAACTTGTCCTCACAATCAAGTTTTGCACTCTTTCTTTTGCTATTATTAGCAGTTTTGGCCATTGTTTTTAATTTTTTCATATGCTTATATTCTTTTGTCGTTTTCAAATGTGATTATATTTTATAACTTTATTTTGTTATTAGACTACATATTTATATAACATCGTTCTATAATAGTTACATATATTAAAAATATAATATCTAAATTTAGGGTTAGACTGTGTACTCCGGTAAGATACTATACTCCAGGTACTCTTAGCGAGATATCTCTATCTAGACCATGAATTAAATCGAGTTTGGAGTATGATACTATACCCTAACCTCTAATAGATAAACCTTAGCCCCCGATTCTCTAAACTCGACCCAGTAGTTCAATTTAATAAAAAAATACTAATTGACCGTTGAAATTGGTCGGAGCTCAAAAAAGGAGATCTAACGGCCAGATAACTTGGAGTATACTATACTCATGGTGTATACCAGTCCTTACCGTAAATTTATTGAAAATATATTATGTAAAAGTTCATTTACCTTTAGATTGTGATATGGAGGCTCGCATTGAGTCGTAGAAATAGAGGATCACACTAAGTTATAACTACTTTTTAGATCATAAATGGAGGCTGGCATTAAGTTGTACAAATAGAAGCTCAATGGACTTACACGTTTATGGGGATAAAGCTCATAAATTTGAAGAACTTGATTAGTAAACTGTAACTCGATGTTCAAGAAATTGCACCTTTATAAAATTTTAATTGAGTAATTGCTCGCCAAACAAAAGATAGCATAACAAAATAGGAAAGAAAAAGATGACATAAGATAAGCAAATGCCAGCAAACCAAAAACAAAATAATCACTCGACACTATTCCTTAATATAAATTTGAACGATATGTCATTTATTATTAATGGAACTGTTGACCATCTTATCACTTTGCATTACATAAAAGTTCTATAAAAGTCATTTATTTTTTCATAACCATTTAATCAAATTGATACTTTCTATAACTTAATAAATATATTATTAATTATAATGTTCACAATCTCATTAATTTGCATTACGCGGAAGATTCCATAAGGCAAGTGAAATTTTACATAATAATTTAATAAAATATGATACTCTTCATAACTTGATTTTATTATCAACCATACATTCTAAAAAATTTACATAACACCGTTCTATAAAAATTAAACTAAAAATATATTCGTAAATCTTTTGGAATGATAGTTATTTCTTATGTATCAATTAAACCAAAGCGTAAACAAAATTTTCTCTATTGTTAGCCAAACTTTCAACTGTAACATAAATTTGCATTACGCAAAGTGAATTATTTTTACTGATTTTCAAATCAAATGTGACACTTTTCGTACATTAATTATTTTATTACTAACTAAACTTCATTTTATTCTAATTATATAACACATTAGGAAATATTTACATAACATCGTTCTATAATAGTTACGTAAATTACAAATACAATACGTAAAATTTATGGAGAGATAGTTATGGAGATATCTGATTCTAATTATTTGATTTCAAACTAAATTATTAAATCAAGGGATTAAATTTTAAATTATTTTAGTCTCTTACCGCTGCGAAGCGCGGGTTAAAAAACTAGTTTATACTTAAAAGCCAATAATACAACCAATATTCGGCAGCTCAGGTTATGTGATTCTAGAGTATCATAGACAAATAAACTTTTGCTTTTGAATTACCATAATTCTACATACACATTAATTGGGCTCAGGAGTATTAATGAAGAGGCAGCACAGCAGCAGCCAGGTAATTTGGGGATTAGGTAGAACTGCCGCATCACGACATTAAAGAAATGCCGACTCAGATGTAGCCCAGACAACCCCATTCTCCATGTCCTTCTTCTGCTCAAATTCCCTTCCCCTTTAATTTACTACCTGCTTCTCTCTTTTCACTTTCAAATTTCAATGTACTCATAATATTAGTGTACATGCTTTATCACTTAAAACCTTCTCAGTACTTCACTTCTATTAACTACCTCGACAACGACATTCTCCAAACCAAAGTACCATCACTTCTTACTAGAGAAACCTCAATTCCAGTATACGTGTTAATTATTTGATAAAAGTCATGACTGTGTTTTTTTATCTCAAAACAAACGAAACCAAAACGAGCGTACTATTGTGTGTATGCATGTTGCCGCATTATGGAATGAATAGTATTGATCTCTCGCGCATATTTGCAAATCATGAGCTCTCATACTGTCATATATTATGAACATTTTTTGAGATCACTGTTATTTATGTCAAAGAAATGTACGTGTACGTCCATATTGTAAACACACTACTATTCTAAATATGCATGCACTAAACTACTTTTGAGAAATATTTTTCATCTGAAGTAATGATCTAACCTATACATAGCACACTCATTAATTAATGGTGATTGTTACAACGAAAACGACAGGACTAGATTGATGCATACTTGGAGACGAAGCAATAATGTCCAGGAGACTAGCTACTGATCTGATTATTAGAATCTGAAACTCGAAGAGGTTGCGATAACGATTGGACCTGTGTCTGCTGGTAACTAATCTGGCTTGATCAGATTAAAGTGGGTAAATTTTACAATGCTTTAAACTTTGGTGTTTTAGTTTTTTCCTTTTATGGTACAATATGAAGTTGTACATTTAACGTTTTGATACAACTTCATATTGTATTTATGCTCTTTTGTATAAATCTCTATTTAGTACAAAGTTGTGCCTTATGTTATAATAGTACAACTTGTATCATAATATAAATATACAAATTTTCTTATAATACAACTTCTATTTGGACATTTAATGTTATTGTACAACTTCAAATTGTACTTTTAAGCACCTATGCTTTAAAGTAGGACTGGCTATTTGGTCCCGGACTGTTTGGTTTTACCCGAAACCGGACCGTATAACCCAGACCGGAACCGGACTGGGACCGGATAGCAAACAATCCAATCTCATATTCGGGCTTAGATTTGAGGTAAAAAAACCGGATAAAGACTGGATAAGAGACCCCAACACCTAAAATCAAGATCAAATTGGGACCGGACCGGGTCAAGACCGGACTGTATCCAATCCAATCTTTGGTCCTTATATTCCCAAAAAGACCGAACTAGGACTGGATCAATTTGGTCCAATTTAACCGGACCGTATAGCCACCCCTACTTTAAAGCATAGTATAAGTGCTCTAGTGGGATGGAGGATTGTGGATAGTTGTTCTTTCAGCTATTGTCTTTTCATTGGTTGGAAAAAACTCTAATAATTTACAGATGTCATTAGTCTTATCACAATCTAGTCCTAGTCCTAATAATACTAACAATATATTCCTAATAATATTGAAAATTTATGGATATTATTAGTCTTTATAACAATATATCTATATGAAAAAATTTTATGATAAAATTATGTGGTTGTTGTTTGGATGAATTACATATTGTTATGTTCATGACCCGTGAATAACCATGCACCCACCATAACCCGTTGCATAGTATTTTGTTCATAAAAATCCAGTAAGTGTTTTTCAAACATTTTTAATGATTTTCCATTCATTAAATTGGATTTGGATTGGCAAAAAGGTCCATTTTGACACTTGAACGTTCATGATTTAGTCATCATGGTACATAAATGTTACTCCCGGTCATACCAGTACACGAATTCATATTTTTTTGTCATTACAGTACTTGAATTTCTTATTTTATTTTTATAATTATGATTAGAGTGGATCACATGTCATTAAGTGAAATTAAATTTTCAATTTTATATGCCAAATTGTATGCCACATCATTTGCCACATTACACTTAAAATAAATTTGAAAAATGAATCCCATAAATAATTGTCTTTCCTTTCGTTTTTTTTACATGATTATTTACCAATTTTTAAGATATTTGTTTATAGAATTATACAAAACTTCACACGAAGTAAATGGTAAGAGAAAACAAAAAAAAGGAAAAATCGAACAAAAAGCCAAGGTATACATAACTTGCATAACTGATGATTTTGCAACACCGATAACCAGCCGAATCGATTAGGAGATTAGGATTTGTTATTTTTCTTGCCATTTGGGTTGGAAGAACCCGATCCAACCCCATCCCTTGGACCTTATTATCTCGCCGACATATAGCTTACATCACTGTGGGTCGCCCTCCCTAATCCCATATCTCCAAATCAATCAATCGATCGATCGTAATTTAATTCCCGCCCACATTCGAACCCCGCCGCAGATTCCATTCCAAGCCGCATGCCGCCGGCCGGCCGGGCTCCCACCTGCCCCCACTTAGCCTCAAGAATGCCAAAAACAGTCTCCACTCCACACCCTCTGGTCTCAGTCTCTGGCCCGCTCCCAGAACAGATCTACAGTAGCACAACAACAGCTAAACGACGTAGTCCAGCTGCAACCGACGCCTTCCTGCACAAGCGAGAAGGCCCAGGATTTTTTCATTCAGTGCCAGGCTCGCTGCTGCAACCGATCCAGACTTTGACTTTTCACTCTCTATCTATTCTCCTTCCTTCCTCATCAAAGTCAGAGCGATCTGCAGATTTTGAGGGTCGTCACTCCTCCCTATAATTTTAATATCCTTCCTTCCTCGCGTACCCTAGGATCCACTCCACTCCCCTTTCTTTCTATAATACACTAAGCTCCCGAGATCTCCACCCAAAAAGCTCTCCCCTTTTTCACCTTTCTGTCACTTTCCCGAGAAAGTAAGCGAAACCCATGAAGACAGACAACCCAGTTTCTGAATAACTAACTCCCCCCCTCGGCCTTCTGAACTACAAACTGTTCAACTCACCCAAAAAAATGGAGACTTTCGGTTGCAGGGCAATCGCCATTTTCTTCCTTCTCCTCCTGATTCAATCCTCAACAGCGCAGCAGCTACCTCCAAGCGAAACCAGGGTCCTCTACCGAATCCAGAAGCTGCTGGAATACCCCGAGCCTCTCCAATCATGGAACAACTGGACCAACTTCTGCTACCTCCCTGCCTCCCCTGCCCTCACCGTCCTCTGCTCCTCCGACGGCCACGTCACCGAGCTCACAATCCGCGGCAACAAAACCTCCCCGTCTCGCCTTCCAAACCCAATCCCCAAAAACAAAACCTTCTTCGCCCTCTCCGGCAAGTTCTCACTTGACTCTCTCTTCACCGACCTCACCAAGCTTCCCAATCTGAAAACCCTGTCCCTCGTATCCTTAGGCTTGTGGGGTCACTTACCGTCCAAAATCAACAGATTTGCTTCACTCCAGGTCTTTAATCTGAGCTCCAATTTCATCACCGGCGAAATCCCGCCATCAATCGGATCGCTCAAAACCCTGACGAGCCTCGTCCTCGCCGACAATCTGATCAATGGAACAGTCCCCGGTGACATCAAAATGTTGGTCTCGCTCCAGGAGCTGAACTTGGGGGGAAACAATCTGAGATCCGAATTTCCTTCTGCAGCAATACTCAAGTCTCTGATTCATCTTCAGAGACTGAACCTGTCGCGAAACAAGCTGATGGGTCCAATCCCGCCTGCTCTGTTCTCTCTGCCTTCGATTCAATCCGTCGATTTGAGTGACAACAATTTGAATGGAGCTCTTCCAGTCAACACGTCGTGCGGGTCTCAGCTTCGGTTCGTCGACCTCTCAAGCAACCTTCTGGTGGGGAACTTGCCGTCTTGCATTTCGTCGTCGGCGATTGCTTCATGGAACTGCTTGTCCGGCGGGAAGCCTAAGCAGCATCCGTACTCTTTCTGTCACAAGGAAGCATTGGCTGTTAAGCCTCCGACGAACAAAGGGAAAAAACAGGGCTCCTCTTCTTCTTCGATTAGGCTTGGGATCATACTTGGGATCATTGGAGGCGCCGTGGGGCTGAGTTTTTTAATTGGGTTAGTGATTTTCGTCATGGTTAGAAGATCTGATGCCAAGGAACTGGCACCTGAGCACAGGTTTGCGCCGTCCTTGGCTGACAAAATGTCGGTCCGAAGCTCCGTTCATACATTCGAGTCCAGTAAGTTTCTCTTTTTGGACCTTTTTTCTGCAACCTGATTTTCCCTTTTTGGGCATTCATGGAGATAGTTGTTCATTTCTCCAGGGAGGGTGCCTAAGACGATGAGATCAGCGGCAATTGGACTGCCGCCGTATCATATTTTCTCGCTGGAGGAGATTGAGGACGCCACCAATAACTTCGACCCGCTGAATTTCATTGGAGAGAGTACTCAGGGACAGGTAAGAGGCTAAAAGCCATTGATTTGTTTGCTGAATCATGAAAAGGTTGTAAATTTTTTCCACATTTTGATGTGGGCAGCTCTACAAAGGGTGCCTCGTAGATGGATCGGAGGTTCTGGTGAAGAGTGTGAAGTTGAAGCACAAGAATCTGCCTCAAAACCTGATGCAGCACATAGAGGTGCTGTCAAAGCTAAGGCATCTGCATTTGGTCAGCGTTTTGGGGCACTGCATTGTCACTTTCCAGGATCATCCCACCTCCGTAGCAACTCTTTTCGTAATTTTCGAGCACATTACGAATGGGTCGCTCCACGATTATCTCACAGGTAGCTAACTGAACTGGCTGAAAGCTATAGATGTAGATAGCGACAGTAGTTCTTTGAGATCGATCTAATGAACGCCGTAACGAAATGCAGATAGGAGAAAGAAAGAGGTGCTGAAATGGCCGCAAAGGATGGGTATCACGATGGGAGTTGCCAGGGGAATCCACTTCCTGCACACTGGAGTGGCGCCGGGGATCTTTGGGAATGATGTGAAGATGGAGAATGTGTTGTTGGACGAAAGCCTCACTGCGAAACTCAGCAACTATACACTTCCTTTGCCGTCGAAGGTGGTTTCCATTGCCGCGTTGAGGATTGAAGTTAGTTTGAATCCTTGTTTTGGTTTTCTCTGTTTGACGTTCGAACTTTGCAGGTTGGTGTAGAAAGTCCCTTGAGAGGGCAAGACCTTCCAAATCTGAACAGGTACAATTTTCGATGAAATGGTGTTTGCTTCGCTTCTCCTGATGTCTCCATTATATGCACGTCTAACTGAGATATCAACCATGAATGCAGCACCGAGAACTCGGACAAAGAAGATGTGTACCAGCTGGGAATGATCGTGCTCCAACTTATCACAGGCAAACGTATCAAATCCTCCGAGGAAGTGGAAGAACTCAAGGCGCAACTAGAGAAAGGGTTGGCAGAGGGTCAATCCAAGCTGAGGGATATGGCAGACTCCACCACAAAGGGCACCTACGCGTACGAATCGTTGCGAACTGCAGCAGAGATCACCATCAACTGTCTCTCCAAGGAGCCCAATAGCCGGCCTTCAATAGAAGACGTGCTTTGGAATTTGCAGTACTCGAGCCAAGTTCAGGATGGATGGAACAGCAGTGGAAACCTTAATACTTCTCAGATGTAGTGGCAATAGCTCTTTTTTTTTTCTTTTTCCTTCTTGTCAACCCTTTCGTGACCATGTACATGATAGTTATCGTCGTGATCTCCACGCTTCTCCAACAGCCCTACTCCCTTGAATCGCCACATTGACTAGTTCATGGAACATGGAAAGCCAGAATGCACTTTAAGTGTCGCCGACCTGAAATCTTTTACCCCCATGAAAAGTTTTGCGTCCCAACCTTCCCCTAAAGCACAAGGCATTTCGCCACGCAGCTAAGGGCAAGATTAAGGAGCAGAGGGGAGCATGTCAAGAGCCATTTATGACAATCCACACTCAGAATAGGCTCAACAGTAAACTTATGGGCCGTTTACTTGCCATTCTATTTCTGTTAGCTGCCACAACAGAAAACAAAATTAAAATGAAAACGAAGTTGTCATTTCCTGGAAAACAAAACCTGAAAAAACCTTGTTTAGCTGAGAATTTTGGTGAATTCTGAAACTGAGTTCTGAAAATGAAAACCTGTTTAGTTGCTTCATTCTGTTTTCTGATTCTTGATTATCATACAACCCTAGCCATGATTATAATTTTTAATTCGAATTAAATAGTTTTTAAACTACAAATAAACACAATACAATCACAATATTGGATATTAATTAAGTACTAGTACAACATAAAAATCTTTGCAATAGGCATTTTTTTATAGGCTCTTAGGATTGGGTTTCTGTTTGGTAGCAATCTTCTATGCTCAAAGATGTGGCTGATGGAATTCTTGCATTTGTAACTGGGGGGATTCCCCTCTATACTTCGGGTAAAACAGTTTTCATATTCAATTGCTAAGCTTATGTACCCTCCAAAATGTGTGAACCATAATCAGGTTTCAGTTGTGGGGCTGGTCAACTCTTCTAATCAATATATGATACAATTTCACTGTGTATGATGACGAAGTCCTTGGGATTTTGCAGCCTGTATACTTTTCAGTATATTGAGTGTTCTCCTCTTAGGTTTTGATTAGCCTTCTGCCCATGTCTTTTATATTGTAACCATAATCAGGTTTCAGTTATTGCCTTGCTGGAATCGAGCCATACGATTTATTTGTCTTCAAATATGATTCTTTTTCTATGTCAAGCACTGACCCTTAGGAATTTTCCAGGATGGTTACTTGAGCAGTATTTTAAAGGCTCTCGCAATGCGCACTTCCAGTAAAGAGGTTACAGAAGTAGAATTGAGAATCTTGCAGTCCATTATGATAAAACTTCTTTCTCGTTTGAAGGACTTGGATGAGATTTTTTGCTTTGGTATGATATGCACTCTGTTTCCCCACTCATTTGTACTAGTCTATTATTATGGTACCAATTGCTAAATGACAATCTTATGTCTGTGGTTTTGTAGTGTTGCTAGTTCAGGGCACAGAAAAAGGTATGATGGTGGAATTCTTGACGTTTATTATTTGTAAATTTGTTGATGCAGAGCCATTTCCTTGACATCTTAGATGTGATGTATGGACGCTCCAGGAATGCAGTGAATCTGCATATTCTTGACTTGGCTCCAGGACGTCTTCTCCTTTCCGTCTCGCAGATGATGGCGGCGCGGGACTGGCTAGAAACCCAGGAAAGATGGAGGCGCGGGGCTGGAGAGGTAGAGGAAGAGGACCTCGAACGCGGGGGTTGGCGGCGCGGGGCTGGCGGAGGAAGAAGATAGGGCGGCCGGCGGGTCTGTTGGAGGGAGAGGGAGATGTTGGCTGCGCGACTATGGGAAGAGTCCAGGAGGAGGGGTCGAGCGAGGCAGCTTTTTTCTAGGGCTGTGGGTGAAAGAGTTCAGTAAAACGGCGCCGTATAGAGCATGGAGGTAAAATAAAAAAAAATGTGCCAGCGGTGATTCGAACGCGGGTTCTCATTAAAAGCCAGCGCGCGTTTTCCGCTGGGAAACGGGGGAATAACCCGTCCCTTTGTTTATAGAAAACAAGTATTTATTGTTTATCCACAGCTTTCCCATTTATAACAATTGGTTTTTTCCAACGAAAACGAGATCGACAAGTGAACACGTTTTTGTCATTTGTTTTATGTTTTTTATTTTTTAAACAAAAAACAGAAAACGAAATGGGAAGTGAACAGGGCATTACTCTACATGTATACAAAAAATGAGAACACAGATAATTCGATACAACAAACACTGCAATGAGAATGCCAAATGTTCATTCTCGGAAACCAAGCAAGTAAATCATCCAAGGAGCAACAGAAACAACCACAAGCTTATGTCAGTTTTTCAATGTAATTTGAACTTGGACACTTAATCCATTTTGGAGTTACAAGCCATGGAGCAAACCCTAATCAGCAGTCCAACTCTGCTCAACAATCTCACGCACTCTTCGATTGTATTCACGCTTGTTCTCACTGAACATCCTTGCAGCTTCCGAATTCGCTGGAGAGTTTGGGTTCGGATCACAAAGCAAAGACTGCAATGCAAGCAAGACAAGAATGATTGTTAAAAGTCGCACTGTGGAAAGCCAAATAGCCAGGAAGAATTATCATGCATAAATAAATAAAAACGAATTTTAGCACGAAAAAGTGAAGCTTCGATGGAGCAATCATGATTGATTTGAGTAAGGAGCACCATCCTAGTGATGGGCAGGCGTCAGAATGAGTCAAACTTGAGACGGACCTGCTCCAATGGCAATGAAGTAGGGAGATAGACAAACCAATTGAGCAATCTACTGAGCAAACAGAACATTTTGCACATGGAATTGATGATTAATTCAACTCATCCTTAACATAGCAAAGACAACCACCTATGGACAAACGTTTTAATTCTCCACATTTCAAAACAGCCCACAACAAATTGAGCACTGTCAGCAATAAAGAAAGTTGTAAGACGAGATGCCATTTACAATTGAAGCTTCCACTACATCTTAAGGTAAGCACAAAAAGAACTATAACTGCAATCTGGAAGGTAATTAATCACCTGGATTGAAGTGAGTATTGCAGCGACATCATAAATAGGACTCCATTGATTTTGTAGGATGTCCAAGCAAATGCTCCCATCTGCATAGACTGAGGCAGAAGGGGTAACAGAGAATCAGAACCATAATCATCTAATCCTTGACGACACTAGGCGTAATAAATATGTATAAAAGTTACAGCGAAAACCGAGACAAAATCTCTTACTATTTGGATGGAACATTCTGGAGACAAAACGCACTGTTGGCGGCTTGTTGGGATAATCTTCAGTGAACTGAAGTGTCAACTTAAACGTGCCTGAAGGTTATAGAAAAAACATGTTCACGAGGAAATGAACACATACAGAAACTGTGAATAACCAACAGGGAGCAAATCACCGAAGGACAAGAATCAACAGCAAATCATTGCAGATACACAGCAGAACTGGAGATATTTAGAGAATGCATATTATGAAGTAATGGAGTAGCAACCACCTAACTAGCACACGCGAATTTATTTGAAAAAGCAAGAAAAGTTGTTACGGATAGAACTTTACCTCCATCCCATGGAGTGTCATCAGGCCTGGGAGTAAAGAAGATAAACAGAGTAAGAGCCTTGAAAATATAATAAAACACTAGCTAATAAAGCAAGTTCACAAGAAAGAAACCAAACACCCAAATCTCCCCTGCAAATGGACTCCCTTTCTCAACTTGAAACGAGAGAGACAAGCATAGAACCAAGTGAAGCGTTCTCTAATTCTCTTAGCTTACCCAAATATGACAGCATTCCAGAGCAGTATATTATTATCTTGGGGAGCACCGCTAATGCCAGCAGGAGGGTCCTGTTGCAGCCTCTTGAAGTCCCTCATCAATCTCTTCCTCGAAGGAGTCGTCATCCTAACCAACTACAAACACAGCAAGCTGTCAGTGACAAAGAATTACCTCTTCCCTTTCAGTTTCCATTGAAATTAAGCACTACCCAGTAAATAAAATCCTGCATTCTGTCACGCCAATCATCAAACATAGCATACAGCGTTACGTTCAAACTACCCATCCACAAGCTTCAAAAAAACCAACACAGACCACCAATTTGCAGGCCAAGGACAGCAACAATGACTATGCAAAAAAGGAACCCTAGATCCGCAGCTAAAGACACTCTCTCGTCAATCCACCAAAGACCCACGAATTCAGAAGTCATTACAGCTTGACCAATTTCAAACAAACAGCGGAAATCGTTCCCTAATGCGCGTACTCTAAACGCATATAGTTGAAATCAAAGCAAAACTATGAAATTGAATACAATCAGTCAGCAGCCGAAGGGAACAACTCACCAATTATGACAGGAGGCCGGCCGATTAGCTTCGATTCGTTGTCCTTTCTTCCGCCGAAAACAGCTGTTTGTTTGGCTGGAATTCAGGGAGAAACAAACGGGATATGAAGCTAGCAGGATGATCGGGTATCAGAGAGAAGGATCCATGAGGATCGAGGCAGGAAGGGAAACGTAAAATCGGCGGTGGCTGGCTCTGGGACTGGCTCGGGTCAGCGATCTCTTTCTCACCTCGACCTCTCGCTATTAAGCAATATTCTGATATTTTTTCTTGCTCGCGTTGTTTTCCATTTTCCAATTCCGGTATCAATTTCCTGATTTTTTATTATTTATTTATGAAATTTGGTGCGCTGAGCTTCGGTTCTATTTTATTTTTATTTTATAATAAAACGTCGGTCGGGAGTCGGGACGTAGCGTTTGATTTACGAAAGCAGTTCCCTTCCCTTCCCCTGGCTTGAATTGGCTTCTGGAATTATTGACGAATTTTTTTGACGAAGGCTTCTGGAATTTTCCCTCATTGATATCGCTAGCCAGCCACGTTATTCCTCCTAGAACGGCACTGAAATATTCTATTCTTCTATATATATATACTAGCTCATTGCCCGGCCCTTGGCCGGACGTAGTCTCGGAAATTGACTCTTTGATTGTAACTGATGTTACTCATTAACATGTATGCGGCGATGGCCGGAGGTAGGTCAACAATACCACAATAATATGATGGAAAGTCATTTATCCCATTGCATTACAAAAGAAACAGTAAAACATAAACACTATAATGGACAATCCAAACCAAGCCATTAGCCTACAATATAGCCACTATTGCCATGCACCATGATGCCCCTAGAGTGAACATGAAAAAACCAAAAGAATACTTACCTGACTCCAACTATCGATGGTAAAAATGGAAGTCACCAAGAGATTTCTTAAGAAAAATCCAATATAGATTACCCTTAGACCAAAAACCAGCAATGTCCAAATCAACTCGATGGAATGCGTCGGTCAGTTTTTTCTGATAAATAGTTTTGTTAATTAAAATGTCAGAAAAGAAAAAGAAATACAAAGCATGCAATCTGCTTTAGAAATCTCATATACAAACAAAAGAAACAGGCAAGCAATATATGCCTGGAAGCACCAACAAATAATAACTTCTGTCAATATACCTCCCCATTATTACAATTCTTATCCTTCTCGACAGCAAACACACTTATTGGTCCACTCTTACTCCTTTTTCGTGGAAGCTACATGACATTTTGCATCATTGCACATTAATTCAAACAATTTATGGCTTGGGGTAATATCACTTCAGTCATAATACAAATTTACATGAAATGAAAGAAATGATCATTATAATAGTCTTGTAAAATTTAGAGTACCAATGGCGATTCCTCTCTCCTCCTCGGTGGCTTCGACAATAAAATGGGATTAATGACTATCTCTACCAACGTATTTTATACGATCATTGTATGACCTTTTGTATAAACCATTTCTGTCACCCATTTTCGCATCACAACTCCAAGAGCTAACTTGTTGGGGGTTCTCTTCTAGGTAAACAACTTGTATCAACATCATGCATGAAAACAAAAATGGCTTTGGTTGAGATACTATCAGGATTTTGTGATGCGCTGAAGAAGGCTAAACCGTTTCCTAGGCATTGTCAACCCCAATCAATTTGATGTGAGTCATTGCTCTCTTACCATCTAAATTAAATATGAAGCTCAGGTTGGCCTCTTTTATAGCTTCACTTGACAATTTCTTAGAGGAGATAAAATCACGATTCACGATTCTAGAACAACCACCTCAGATACAATCTTATGGAAACAACACTAATGAAGCACCCAAATTACAATTCCGTACATGTTTCCTATGAGGGTGTGCATGTGCAAATTAAGAAAAATATAATGATTAAGGAGAGAGCTGAAATTCTTTATCTGGCAGTGCCTTAGAGTGATACTTCCAACAGTGGTAGCACTCAATTCTAGAGGGGTTAATTGTCTTGTCCGTTGCCCTGTGTGTTGGAGAGGACCGGAAAGTATTGAACATCTGTTCTTCAAATGCCCCCTGGCCACAAGGTTGTGGTCGCTTATGGGATTAAATGATTTCATCTCCTCGGCCCCGACTGTGAATTTCAGTCTCTGGTGGCGACATGTTATGCTTTCCGAGCACCCCCAAACCCATATCCTCCTGTTCGTGTGTGTTTTATGGAGGATCTGGAAGTCTAGAAATAAGGTGGTCTTTGAACATGTCCAGCCTCTTGCCCAGTCTCTCGCTCGTCAGTGTTTTTTCCAAGTTCAAGAACTGTCTTCCTCCCTCCCTTTGGTCCCTGCTCCCCTGCTCCAGCCGTCCCTCTCTCGCCGCTCTTCCTGGTCCCCTCCTCCTGTTGGCGTTCTGAATATTAACTTTGATGCTGCTGTTCGCTCCTCTGTTTGCTCGTCTGGTCTTGTGGTTCGAGGTTCAGACGGGCGTGTGGAGCTGGCTGTAGGTGCTCTTCACCCTGGTATTGCTGATCCCTACCTTGCAGAACTCCTTGCTGCTAGAGCCGCCATTTTCCTTGTGGTCTCCAAATCGCTATCCCGGGTCATCATCGAAGGCGATTCAGAGGTGGTGATTAATCAGCTGCGTCAAGGCGTATTATCTGATTCCATTGGAGGACCGGTGCTTCGGGATTGCTTTCTTCTCTTATCTTCAGTGTCTGTTTCCTTAGAGTTTAGGGCAATCCCCCGGGCTGCGAACAGGGCTGCCCATAGAGTGGCGCAGAAAGCCCTGTTTCTCTCCCCTTTAGAGTTGATTTCCTTTGACTTTGTGGATTGGCTTCGCTTTTGTATGGGTTGGGCAGGGTTCGGGTAGTATGTATAGGTTCTCTCTTGACATTTCTTGGAAAAAAAAAAATCCCGTCAATAAATTCTAGGTGGAGACGTCTAATCGATCGGGTCTAGACATGCGTATATATCAACATGCTATACTAAAAACACAAAGAGTTCGGTTTGTCCTTCCTATGACAACATATTCTCACCATGTATTTATTCCTTGCAGAGAGAATGATATCAAACCATCTTGTATATGCTCCAATTATGGCTATCACTCGTATTTTTTATATTGTAGTAATTAGAACCCCACTTTTAAATATGAAATCAAGTGACACTGTCACAAAACATCATATTGTAAAAACTTATTTGCAATCATGAGGTTATTTCACTCAAAAGAAACCATGTTTTATATGTTGAAGATTAGTATTATAGCTTGAATAGTTTAATTCGGAAATGATCTCAACTCTTACATATAAATTTTGTTTAAAAGTGGTATGATTGAAGCTATTCCCTATGTTAACACTAATCAGAATAGTCATTATTTACTGAAAACTAACCACAAAAATATTTCAAATTGGAAAAATGATGATACTAAACAGGAGTATCATAACAAAAGCAACAAAAAGTATAGCTATTTATCTTTAATCATCTCAAAAGTCAACCTAGAAGATCAACCAAATGAATTGATGTTAAGAGATTACAGATTACTCTCAAAGAAACTAAATAACCCATCAGCCAGCTCTCCAAGCAAGAAGACTCAACCTTTCGATATTTACCCCTCCGAAAATTGCTTTGCATAACAGTATAGGTGGAGGAGGTTAGGCGATTGTCGAGTCCGATGGAAAGGTTTGGAGAGACGACAATGGTTGAGCGTTTAGTAGGCCGGGAGCTCGGGACACTGTGTATCTTTAATCAACTCAAAAGTCAACCTAGAAGATCAACCAAATGAACTGATGTTAAGAGATCACACATTACTGCAAAGAAGCTAAACAATCCACCAGTCAGCTCTCCAAGAACACTCAAACTTTATATATTTAACCCTTCGAAAATTGCTTTGCGTAACAATATAGGTTGAGGAGGTCAGGCGGTTGTCGAGTCCAGTGGGAAGGTTTGGACAGACGATGATGGTTGAGCCTTTAGTAGGCCGGGACACCATTTAGACCCATTTACATTAGTTGCGTCTTTTCAATCCGCATTCGACAAACCAACATCACTCAACCTTTCCATATTTACCCCTCTTTTAAAGACACATGTGCCCCATATTCAATCAAAACTTTTATGTTCAAAAATATTATTGTTTTATGGTAGTTATATTATTTAAGTCTGTCAAGATTTCTGCATCACTTCTACACATTCAATACTGCAATTCGATGTGCAATATTTGCACCAATGACATTAGGCTTGCGATTTAAAAATTATTCTCCTTTTATAAGATAAATAGAAAAAGAAATAATTATTAAATTCAAATTAAAATAATCAAAGTATGAAAATAGAAGTATCAAATACCAAAAATATATTTATGGTAGAGTTAGTGGCTTAGCTAACTATGATGAAAAATTCCTATGATTTTTCATATTTATACTTTCTGTATGTTTTTAATTTAAAAAGTTTAAACAAATTTGTGTAGTGTAACTGATTATGTTTCTTGTATTTTCTCAAAGAGATCACGATTCAAATCCCATCACCAATGTATTCCTGTAAATAAGAAAATAATAAATGATTGTGAAGACGAATCTACCCTTCCTAATTTTGCTATGGATGCAAGGATTTTCTAATGGAGGAAACACCTTTCCCATTTCACTATTATATTAGGTTTAGCAAAAGTAACCCGGGTGGTTGAGCTTTTAGTGGGCCGGATACTATTTGGGCCCGTTTACATTAGTAGCGTCTTTTCCATCCGTGTTGGGCAAACCAACAACACTCAATCTTTCCATATTTACCCATCTAAATTGCTCTAGCGTAATAATAGAGGCAGAGGAGGTTAGCCGGTTGTTGAGTCTGATGGAAAGTTTGGAGAGACGACGATGGTTGAGCATTTAGTGGGTCGGGGCACTAATTGTGCTCGTTTATATTAGTAGTGTCTTTTCCATCCGCGTTCGGCAATCCAACATCACTTAACATTTCCATATTTACCCCTCTTAAAGACATATGTGCCCCATATTCACTCAAAAATTATGTGTTTAAAAATATTGTTACTTTATGGAAGTTATAACAATTATGTTTATGTTAAGAATTCTATATCGCTTCTAGACATTCAAGAGTGCAATTCGGTATGCAATATTTGAATCAATGACATTTCGGTTGCTAACCATAGTGGAAAAGTGCTATGATTTTTTAGATTTAAGCTTCCTGTATGTTTTTAATTGGAAAAGGTCACACAAATGTGTTTATTGTAATTGGTTGTGTTTCTTATCTTTGTTCGAAGAGACCATGGTTCAAATCTCATTATTGATTTATTTTTTCTGTAAATAAGAAGTTAATAAATAAATGTGAAGACGAATCTAC